AAAGCAGTGGAGCACCTTGAGGAAGACACAGGAGGCAGCATGTGCCAGGTGGGTCAAACTACCATTACTACCTTGACCACCATTTCCCTTCAGATCCTGATGGAGACAATCTAGGACCCTGAATCTGAGCCTTTAGAATAACAGAGCTTCCTTCCCCATGTACCTATCATTCCATGAAGCATCCTCTGTGGAGATGCAGCCTGCAATTGCTCCTGCAGGTGGTATAGCCACAGTTACTGAAGATCCAGAAGAGAAAATTCTTCCCACCAAAGTCCTTGTCATCATCAAATGGTTCAACATCAGAAACTGATAGGATTTTGTTGGTGGAAATGACATCTAAAAAGAGGCATTAGAACTGATCGAACCATTCTGGAGAGCAATATGGATCTATGCCCAAAGGACTATAAAAATGTACATACCCTTTGACCCAGCAATAGCACTTCTAGGGCTGTATCCCAAAGAGATCATACAAATGGGGAAAAGGACCCAAGTGTACAAAAATATTTATAACAGCTCTTTTTGTGGTGGCAAAGAATTGGAAATTGAGGGGATGCCCATCAGTTGGGGAATGTCCAAACAAGTTTTGGTATATGAATATAATGAAATGCCATTGTGCTATAAGAAATGATGAACAGGCAGACTTCAGAAAAACATGGAAAGACTTATATGAACTGATGCTGAGTGAAGTGAGCAGAACCAGGAGAACATTGTACACAGTAACAGCCACGTTATGCAATGACTAACTTTGATAGACTTATCTCTTCTTAGCAATACAAGGATTTAAGACAACTCTAAAAGATTCATGATAGAAAATGCTGTCCACATCCAGAAAAAGAACTACAGAGCCGGACTGCATATTGAAACATATTATTTGCTCTCTTTTTTTCCCCTGTTTTTGTTTGTTTCTTCTTTTCTTGTGATTTCTCCCACTGGTTCTAATTCTTCTTTACAACATGACTAATGTTGTAATGTGAATGTGAAAATAGGTTTAATGTGAATGTATATGTAGAGCCTATATCAAATTGCATGCCATCTTGGGGTGGGGGGAGGGGAGAGAAGAGGAGAAAATTTGGAATTCAAAATCTTATGGAAGTAAATGTTGAAAACTAAAAATAAATAAATATTTTTTAAAAAGAGGCATTCTCGGGGCAGCTAGGTGGCGCAGTGGATAGAGCACCAGCCCTGAAGTCAGGAGGACCTGAGTTCAAATCTGGCCTCAGACCAAATACTTGATATTTACTAGCTGTGTGACCCTGGGCAAGTCACTTAACCCCAATTGCCTAAAAAAGCAAAAACAAAAAAAATACACACAAAAAAGAGGCATTATCTTTTTTGCCACTGCACGATAAGAACCATGAGACCTTTCCACGTGACTTGCAGCTGAAAACCTTGCATACGCATTGTCTCTTCCATTAAAATGTGAGCTCCTTGAGAGTACAGACTGTCTTACTCTTCTACAGTTATCCCCTCCACATCTTGGGGATTAGGTGTGGCATCCCTGCGATCTGGAAAATCCACATAAAATTTTTTGGCCCCTCCCTTCATGTCAGAGAAGAAATCTGAATTTGTTTCTTTTTCTTTTATGGAGTATTTGCAGCATTAAAAGATAAAATATGTTGATATTATACAACACTATACATATACTTTATGCATTTCTGAGTTTCTAAACTTTTTCTGTGTCATCTGTTGGCCTTCGTGAGTCATCTGCAGCTTCCACAAACTCCCCCAAAATTCCCATGTAACTTCTTTATGCTGACCTGTGATATATCGAAACCATGATGGGGAAAGTCATGATGTGGAAGGGATAACTGTACTTATATCCCCAGCACTCAACACAATGCTTTGCTCATCATAAGCACTTAAGATACGCTTCATCCATTCATTCATTTATACTGCTATATACCCACAGTTGGATGACATAATTAGTGGCACCTAGGAATCATACCAAACATTGCATGGGAAAGCAACATGATCAACAAGAAAGGTACTGGAAGAAAGAGAAGTACTAGAGTCAAAAGATGCTTACTTGGGCAGATCATACTTGAAAACAGTTTTCTTAATTGGTGAGATAAAGTTGGGGTAGGGAGAGTAAGAGAATAGGGTAAATATATGAAATGCAACATTTAGTTATTCTGCATAACAGCTTCAAAGGTTGAAAGCAGGCTATCCTTTGTTTCCCAAATCAGTGTCCCAACCAGGTATCCCTGGGATTTAGCCATAAGAGATGGAATCACTCATGTGTAGTCATGTCACAGACTTTCCCCCCCCATTTTATTAATTTATTGATTTATCAACAATCACTTCCGTATGCTTTTGAGTTGAAAATTTTTCTCCGCCTTCCTCCCCCCCCACCCTTCCCAAGACAGTGCACAATCTGATATAGGTTTTACATTTACATTCCTATTAAACATATTTTCACGTTAGTGAAGTTGTAAGTAAAAATTAAAACCAATAGGAGGAGCCATCAGAAAGATGAAACAAAACTCAACAGAAGGTAAAAATAAGTGATAGTGATTCGATTTCCATAGTTCTTTCTTTGGATGTGGACAGCATTTTCCATCCTGAGGCCTCTGGAGATGTCTTAAATCCCTGCAATGCTGAGAAGGGTTCGTTTAACAATATTAGTCATCGCATAACGTGGCTGTTATTGTGTACAAAGTCCTCTTGGTTCTGCTCACTTCACTCAGCATCAGACCACATAGGTCTTTCCAGGTTTTTCTGAAGTCAGCCTGTTCATCATTTCTTATAGCACAATACTATTCCATTACATTCATATACCACAGCTTGCTCAGCCATTCCCCAATTGATGGGCATCCTCTCAACTTCCAATTCTTTGCCACCACAAAAAGAGCTGCTATGAATATTTTTGTACATGTGGGTCCTTTTCCCATTTGTTTGCATGTCACAGACTTTTGCCAGTAAAGACATCTTGATCCCTCATATAAATGCAACAAAGAACCTGGTGTAGTGGGCAGGGGACTTAATTTGTCTCTCTGAAAAACTGGGTTTGCATACCACGTCTACTACTTATTAAATAATATGTTAATAAATATATTTATATAACAAGTAATACTATAAACGATTTAAATGATCTTGAACAAGTCACTTATAAGCTCCCTGTCCCTCAGTTTCTTCATCTGTAGATTGAGAGGGTTGTACCAGATGATCTCTAAAGTCACTTTTAGCTCTAAATCCTACGACTACTTAGCCTTACACTTAAGCATACTTGAAACAGCAATAGAAACATTAAACAATAAAGAATAATTTATTTGTCTAGGTGTGAGGAAAGTACCAGTGTAATTCAACAAATGTCCATTAAGCACCTATTATATGCAAGGAACTCTGCGAGGGATTCAAGGAAAAATAAAATAGTACCTGCCCTCGAGGAGCCTACATTCTATGGGGAATGCAACATGTTCATGAATAGTAAGAGTTGGAAAACCATGAAAATAAAGGAGATATTCAAAATGTTCTGGAAATATTTGAGAAAGGATATTTTTGGCTGAGGCACATCTGAGCTGGATCTTGAAGGATCATGAAAAACAGAAATAAAGAGGGAGTGCCGACCAATCTCAGAGGATCACCCTGTTCATATGTACAGAAGGAGATGGTATGCCAGTTCTGAGGAACATCTAGGCTCAACCTTAACTAGGGTTTACCTGTAAGAATAGAATAGCTAGCCAACATTTACAAAGCTCCTTAAGATTTTCAAGGTGCTTCACAAATATTAACTCGGTTTACCTTTACAAACAACCCTGGATGGTAGGTGTTATGATTATCCTTATTTTACAGATGAGGATATGCAACTGTGTGCTCTGGTCCTCTCACAGATGCTGAGATCATCCTGAGTTGTTAAAACATCTCAGTATCATAGGAGTAATCTCGTCCAACTCTTTCATTTTGCAGACAAGGAAACTGAGGCACAGGGGGGCTAAGTGATTTGCCCAAGGTCACACAAGTAGTACCTATCAGAGGCAGGATTTGGACCCACTCTCTCACTTCAGAGCCGCAGCTTTTTCCAGGCTACCTTGCTAATCAGAATGTTTATGGGTCAAATTATAGGTCTTATGGGACCGTTTAAAGCTGAGGAGCCTGAAAAGCCATAACCCCATTTTAAAATCTCTTGGGTAATCTTGGGGCTGCCAGTCTCAAAGCAGGCTTCGTTCCATATATGCAGTAGTCTCTATACTTCTTGGTGATGAGTATGCACCACTTAACATCAAACGATTTTTAGAGTGGGATGAGACCAAGTTCAAAGCACAGTTTACTCTCAAGGAAACTGAAACTAACAAGGTGAAATGAGTTCCCTCCCCCCGCCCCCCTTGCGAAGGTCACACAGATTCAGATTCGAAACCAGATGCTGGAAGCCCAAATGCGTGGTCTTTCCACTTATTTTAGCAAGAGTTGTCCACAGTTGCTTATTCATTCTCTCTCTCAATCTCTCTCTCTCTCTCTGTTTCTGTCTCTCTGTCTCTATCTCTGTCTCTGTCTCCGTCTCTGTCTCTATTTTTCTGTCTCTTCTCTTCTCTCTCCTCTCTTCTGTCTCTCTCTCTCTCTCTCTCTCTGTTTCTGTCTGTCTGTCTGTCTGTCTGTCTCTCTCTCTCTCTCTCTCTCTCCCCCTCCCTCCCCCACAACACCTCCCCCCGGGAGATTTTTATTTCTCTCCGCACCCATTTATGCCTAGGAAGAAACACTTTTTCCATCAGATCAAAGTAACTGGCAGATATCGGCAAACAAATTAATTGGGGACGCTCATACTCCGCCACCCACTCTCTACCCTAAGCTGGCACCTCCAGCTCGCCGCCGCCCCCTTCCATCTCTCTCCTTCGCACGCCCCTGCAAATCTAGTTCAAACGCTGCTCGGATTCCATTAATCATGCTCTTTAACCTCCAGTTCACGCGTGGGGGAACACGGACTACTGAAGGAGTTTTTATGAGGATTCCTACGGGGGCAGAAGGAAAGCTCAGGGAATTGCCCCCACCCCCCCGGCTCTTGTACACCTCGTTGCATTCTGGAAATTTTTCGCGCCCCCGTCCAGAAACAAGCATAGGATTCAGGCAGCAGCTGTCAAAGCTGCTTTCTCTGCTACGGCTCTTGGTCCAGGAGTCCCAAGACCACCAGGGCAGCGCCACCTACCGGCCACCCGGCGCCCGGGAGGGGGATACTACCCAATAAGGTCTTGCCGCTACTCCGGCACGATTTTCTTTTTTAGCTTCCCCCGCTCTTCCGCTCCAGTGAGGCAGGTAAGAAGATGGGGTGCTGGGGGAAGCATCTTAGGGTGGGGGCTATGGGAGAGGATGTGGGTCTGGAAGTTTGCGCTGGAACGGCACAAGATGCAGCATCCACGAAAATCCCGGCGATGCAAGGGTGTGGGTTTGGGTTTTGTTTTGTTTTTCCTTTCCAATCGTCCCAAAGTCGGACGAGAAGCTGCAAAGGAATCAACTTTGCGTTGGGAGTCGAATAGGTCGTTGCGCGAGGAGGTAGTTTATTTCTTTATCTCTCATAAAGAAGTGGAATGCTAAGGGCTTGGAGGGGATGGTCAGGCAGCGACCTGGACTCTACAGAGTCAGCTCTCGGCAGCGGGTACCCCGCCTGGCTCGCAGTAAAGTAAAGCCTTTTGCGGCTGGAGAAGGCAGCCAGACCCGAGGCATTCATTTTCCTTCGAGCTGGAGGCGGCGGCGGCGGTGGAGCGGCATCTCTGCAGCGGCTGGAGAGGAGTTGCACCGCGTGCTGCAGAGAGCGGGGCGGAGGGCGTGGTTCGAGCGCTCTGCAACCCCACCGCACATGTGTGCTTTCGGGGAAGGGGCTGAGAAGAAGGGGTCGGGGGTGGCAGGGGTGCAGAGAAGAAGGATGGAGCTCCGCTCCCGGGGCTGTGAAAGGCTGGGAAAGAGAAGAAACAATGAAGCACTTAAGTAAGTATGAGCATCTGGGGAGGGGTCCATTTCCAGATGTTAGAGAAGGGGGAATGTGTGTGTGTGTGTGTGTGTGTGTGTGTGTGTGCACGCGTGTCACAGTGGGTGTGTTTGGGTGTGTGTTGTGTGTATAGAGAATTAGGATTTGGGCGTGGGGGCTTGTCACCAAAGCTAGGGAGATATGGGGAGCGGCTGAAGCTCTCCTTGATCCTAGCGGCTTTAGAAGTATTGCACATGTGCTCCTTGGGGTAGGGGGAGGTTGGAGCAGAACTGCTCACCTCTTAGCAGGTCCCCCACCATGCTACAGTCTCTTCTACCTGAGAGCGGGACCGCGGGGACCAGGAAATGCATATCGTGTATGTGCCCCTCTTGGTAGGAAAGAGACTTGTACCCAGTAGAGCCACTGCCTAGATCTCTCCCTCTGGAGGCAGGAGGGAAGAGAGGGGAGGAGGCGGAGGCGGTGAAGGGGTGTTGGTGGCACTGGTACGGCTGCTCTAGGTGACATGCACGTGTGCGCACGGTCAGAGGAGAGTTTCTTCCCGAGCTCCCAATTCTGGGAGCTGGAAAGTGTGTTTGGATTGGGAAGGCGCGGGGTTTTGGGAGGCGGCAGGAGGGTGCTGATGTTAGATTGTCTTTTGGAGTAGGGGATAAGAAAAAAGAAAGAAAAACCCACTTTGTAATTTAAGGTACTTCGAGGGAGAAGGGGGAGTGGAGGAGATGGCGAAGAAGGACCGGATCTTTTTTAAATGCCCCGAAGTGATGGCTGCGGGGGCGGTTGTGCTAGCTTTTCCTGCGGCTATTTCTGACTGGGGCGTGGGGGCGGGGTATGGGGGACGGCAGTAGGGAGGGGGGGAAACCCGCTGAGAATCGGTGCTGCAAAAAGTTTTAAGCTACAAGCCGAGCTCGGTGTCTCATCTTCATCTCTCATTGCAGCGGAAGACAAGGTACAGGTACTCTGTGGCTCCACTTTTTAATTTTTTTTTAATTCCGCGATCCGGAGCTATGGCTGCTGCTGCTTAGGCAGAGGGGAGAAGAGGCAGTTTAGTTTTTACTCTTGGGAAGGGAAGTGGCCTGAAGAGCTGGAGGTTAAGCTGGTTCATGGAGTTGCTATAGGAAGCTTGCCTTGCCCCAGTTCTCCTGAGTTGGATGGAGCCTTTTTGGCCTCTTGGAGGTGTTTTGGGCATAACCTCAGAGGGCAGCGATTCAACCCTCCAAGTTGGGTTACTGGTAATAGTAATAGGGTAAGCGTCTAACACTGCAGTGGACCTTATTTTGGTAAGGCTGTCGTTTTGTCTGGAAACTGAAGGCAGCTTTCGGTGTAATTTGTAGACTACAGAGGAAGCAAGAAACATTTAGAATGGGAGGATTCTTTGTCCTCACCTAATTGGCACCTCCAGCTTCAGAGGCCTTCCTTTTCTGGGATTCATATAGTAATACAGCATCACGTGGCCCGAATTTCTTCCTTTTTTTAGAGTAAGTTTTCTTTACTTTGTTTAGACCAAATCCTGTGAGGAACCCAAAAGAACTTGTACTCTAACCAAAAATTCAATAGGCTAAACTAGCTCTTTGCTAAAGATGGATAAAGTTGTTTGTTAACCCACAGAGGTTCATTTTGCATGTGTGTGTTTTCAGAAGATGTTAAAACTGTAGTTTTATGATTTCCTACTTCTGGATTTTATCAAGGAAACCGATCACAAAGCTTGCAGTTGGCTTGGTTTTGGTCTTTCCTTCCAGACTGGATGATCCACCCTTTTCCCACCTTTGTAGAGGAGAAATATTCATCGTGAGACATTGTTTAAAACTCCACCTCAAGAGCTCTGTAGTGTCTTTCTGTGTGGACACTCAATGATGCAAAATGAGGAGAACAGTCTTTAGAGCTATGGAAATATAAAATGGTCATACTCTTGTTTGTGATGCCTGCTATCTAGAGGAGTTTTCTATCTTCCCATATGTTTGCATTTAAGTGATCAATGGGTCAAAGTAGTTACTTCTACCAGTGAAGAGCATAGACCTACAACTCATTGCATTCAGAATCCGCTGTAGCTAAAAAAAGCTATCACCCTGCTACCAACTAGATGATGAGCCCCTCTAAATAGCTCTTTGACCAATAGATGTACAAGTCATAACCAGAACTTCGCTCAGATCCATACTATTTTGATAGGACCTGCTAGAATTTGTGCTCTGCAGACATAGCCTTTGAGAAGAAGAAGAAGAAGAAAGCGCTTTAATTTGTAACTTGGTCTGGACTTGTGATTTCATCACTGTAGGAAATTCTTAAGGATACTACTTGCACTAACGTAAATCAGCAACTGCTGTCTTCTCTCTGACTAATATGTAGGCTCTTTGAGAGCAATGCCTGGTTTTTGGTTTTTTGGTTTTGTTTTGTTATGCATTTTTGCCATTCTTTTTCTCTCAGGTCCTTAGCACAATGCCTGACACATGATAAGCATTTAGTTGAATTGTTCTTTCTATTTCCAGAATCAAATCCCAGGTATGATGAGACCTCATAATATGACTGCAGTGAAGGGGCCTTGTGTTCAGACACCTTTAAATAATCTTCACATGGGAGGAGGGGGAAGAAACAAAATTAAAAGAAACAGTATTTGCTTCTATTTCTGCTAATTGAACTAATTTATGAAAACTTAGAAATGTCTGGTAACACTGAAAGTACTATATTTAACATTGTAGCAACTATAATTGAAACCTCCAAACTTCAAAGTTTAATTTCCTTACCAAAAACTAGTTACTTCTCATCTGATGAGTTATTAATAGTAATTCTTATGTGTATATTGCTTCAACATGCAAAGTGTTTTCTTCACAACTAGTGAGGTAGATAGTACAGGTGGTATTATTCCCATTTTAAATATTAAAAAAAAAACTGAGGCTAGGATTAAATGTCAGGCCTGGAATAAAATTATGGTCTTCTGTGTTTAGGGTCCCCCCCCAACAATGCCACTTTAATCATGTGACCCTAGTTTGAATGGAAAATGTTCTAAAGTCAATAGGGGAAAAAACTAGAGTCAGGTCAAGAAACACAGTGTCCCTACCGGATACTTCCCTTCCTTTCTGTGGGCAAATATGAGTCAAGGGAAGACGACTCATGAAGGAAGGTGCTGTTAGAGGGTGAATGGCAAGGTGTGGAATCCTTTGGATGACCCACAGGAGTGTCCCACTCCCACTGGAAAGGGAAGGACAGGTGATAGACTTAAGGGGTCAGAGTGGAGAGGGTATTCTAGGTTTCCTTTGGCAGGGGTGGAGATGTGGGAGGTGGTTAGTCTGGCCAGAAGGCAAAAAGGAGAAGAGGCAACTGATAGGAAGATTGGTGAGTAGACTGTGGCTGTGGAAGAGAGAAGATATTCCCAGTTGGTGATAGCTCTGTCTGGGTTCCTCCAGGCACCTTTGTTGGGGTCTGGGGCCACCTACCTCAGAGGAGGGAGAAATTGGCTTATAACACTTATACAGGATTTGCATGTTATTTGGTAAATCACTTTCTAATCCTCACTAGACCCTAAAGGTGGCCCTTGAGACCAGGTGGTTTAAAAATGCCCAAAATTGGCAAAAGGATGAAAATCACTACTTTTGTCCTTTATTTTAAAAGCTTACCTTTACCTGTTTACCATTTCATTTATATAATTTGTTCAGAAACCCCAAGGCAAAAAGGATTAATCAGTGAACAAAAACATATTTATTTAGGGCTACCATGTGCTAATCACTGTGTTAGATGCTGGGATATGAGGACAAAAAAATGAAATAGTCCCTACTCTTAAGGAGCCTACATTCTAACTGAGGAGACAAGAAGTGTATATTATACATACTGTATACACAGTAGAAATATAAAGTGGATAAAGAAGCATATATACAAAATCATTAAATGCAAAGTAGTTTGGGAGGGAGGTCACTAGCAATTGGGGTGGTGCTTGCATTATATCCTAAAGGAAGAGCAGAAGTCTGTGGGGTAGATTTAAGGAGCTAGTGCATTCCAGGTATGGGGGATGGCAAGTGTAAAGGCAAAGAGATCCAAAATAGATTATGATACTTGAGGAGCAGAGAGGAGGTTGATTTAGCTGGATCAGAGAGTGCAGGAAGGGAGGGTGGGAGGAAGTAATGTTTGATGAGATGAGAAAGGTGGTTTGGGGCTTGGTTGTGCAGCTTTAAAAGCTAAACAGAGGAACTTATGTATGTTCCTAGAGACTACAGAATTGACTGAGTAGGGGAGTAACACATAGTCAGATCTGCACATAAGAATTCTGCACTGCTTTGGCAGCAGTGTATAAGATGGACTGGAGTGGAAGGGAGACTGTTAAAATAATCTGAGTGAAAGGTGATGAGGGCCTGAACTGCTAGTTGCTTTCTTCCCAAACTACCTTTTGTTTAACTATTTTGGATGTACTTCTATTTATTCACTTTATATGTATGCTATATATGTATATATGTGTGTGTATTATAGGTCTCCCCTATTAAAATGTAAACTTGAGAGTAGAGATTGTTTCATTCTTTGGACTTGTATTGCTCAGTGCCTGGCACCTAGTAGGTGCTTAATAAATGACAGTTGAGAAAATGCAGTCACATTATATCATTTGAGCCTTACAACAATCCTGGGAGGTAGGTAGTGCTGGTGTTGTATAGTCTCATTTTACAGGTGAAGGAAAAGGGTCTGAGAGGTTAAAAGTGACTTCCTCAAGGAGACATAACTAGCAAGTAGGAGCTAGGGTTTAAACTCAGGTCTTCCCATTCCTAGTCCAATATGCTTTCCAGTCAGAACCTACTATCTTGGTTGCATTTAACAGGTTAAAATTGACAGATATTCTAGTTCCACTTTGAGTTTCTGATTTCCAGATTTCCTTTTTTAAAAGGTAGTCCCTGAACACTAGTTGCTATCCTTGTGATTACCTCTAATTCTTTTAAAAGATTGTGGGTGTGCTGTGTTTCAGAACTTTTATTTTTATTCTCATGTTCAACTTGGTATCTGCTATAAGTTTGGTGGTGGAAAAATTTCATTGAAATTTCTGGGCTCTGCTCTTTCCCTTTTTCTCCTCTACCTTTTTTAAAAAGCTCTTTTGTGAGTTTATATATAGGCTCTGCATGTGGCCTGTCACTTTATTTTTAATGAATTCCTGTGGTGGGTCCTGAATAGCATGGTAAGTAGGAAATGAATTGATATATAACTGTTTTCATGGGAAATAATTTACTCAGCATGTAATGCCCTCACTGCATACTGTGGAAGAAAGAACATTTCCCTTCTTCTTTTGTCTTAAAATTTGTCTGCATTTTCCAGCAATCTTAACAGTATGGTAGCATTTTGTGTTTTTGGCATAAGGTCTTTAAAGCAGTCTTTGCTTCTTTGACAGGCATTGAATGAAAAATGGCTGAAAGTCCTACGTGGGAGCAAGTTGGAGCAAGTTTTGTGCATCTGTATTACCGCCACTTTGATGCTGACAGGGTACAACTAAGTGCTCTATATGTAGGTACCAATTTGAATGTGATTAAACTATTTTTTTTTCTTCTTCATTGTTGATCTGTGTGAGTGACAAAATTTATTTTGGGGACTGGTGGGCTTGGTGCACTTTATAAACTGATGGAAAAATTCTTTATGAAAGGTAACATTTTTAAGATAAATGTATACATGAACAGAGAACCCTTCCTCCCAAACTATATGACCCTTAATTATTTTGGTCCAATGCTTATGTTTGATATCCTATAGCAGAGCTATTTACATGTATTTAACTTTTTCCGTTTTCTAATTGAGATTGGGATGGGGGGTGGGGAGTTTATAAAAAGTGGAAAGGAATCGGTTATTATAGATGTTCTCAGTGAATGAATAATAAAGTCTGATATTATGCATTTGGTCTGGGGAATTGCAATTCAAATAAATGATTAGTTGGTTGTGAGTAGAGTAGGAGTTAACTTGATTTTTAATTTTTAAGTTTTTAGTGTCTCAAATGAGCTTGCAACTATTGGAAGCTGCCTATTTCTGGCAAATATCTGTACAGAGGTACTGAAGAAAATGTAAAGAGGAAATATATGGAGTTTACTTTCCTCCACTCCCAGCAATCATAGGATTCTGATACTCTTGACTAGGATTTTATATGACCAGATGCCATTTCTGTAAGGAAATATTTAATAATGACCTGCCAACTAACTCCTCTCCCCTGACTGTATTGCCCCTGGTTATAAACTGATAATGAGGGACTTATCCACTAGCTAAATGAAAAGCTAAGAAGGGAAATAAAGTTCTTAGAATTAAAAGTAATTAATGACTTCTTAAATAATTAAGCCTCTTTCTTCTTTTTTTTCATTTAGATTAAATTTTATTTTCAGATCCACATTCTCTCCTCCCCACCTCCCCTGTCCATCTTACCCTCATCAGTTGAGAAAGCAAGAAAAAACAAAACTCTTGTTACAAATATTTATAATCAGACAAAACAAAATCTCTTGTTGGCCATGTCCTAATAGATAGACAGATATTGATAGAGAGATATACATATCTATCTATCAGTAAGTATAAATATATCTGTCAATATCTGTCCATGTATTTTAACATGATAGATAGATGCTGATGAATATTTATATATATATGCCTCAGTCTTCTCTGAATCTTATCATTTCTCTCTTATCAGGAAGTGAGTAATGTTTCATCTTGAGTGCTGTAGAATTATGATTGATAATTGTGTTGATTAGAGTTTCTAAGTCTTTCAAAATTGTTGTCTTTACAGTATTATAGTGTACATTGTTCTGCCAGCTTTGCTCACTTCACTCTGCATCAGTTCATACAAGTTTTCTCTGATTTCATCTAATACAGATGGTTTTTCTGAAACCATCCCCTCCATTATTTCTTATAGCATAATAACATTCCATCACATACACATATTATAACTTGTTGATTCATTCCCCAATTAACAAGAGATACCTCAATATCCAATTCTTTACCACCACAAAAAAAGAGCTAGCATACATATTTTTGTACATATGGGTCCTTTCGCTTTTTCTTTTATCTCTTTGGAGTATAGACATGTGAGTGATTTTGCTATGTCAAAGGGTATACACAGTTTAATCATTTGGTGGGCAATTCCAAATTACTGTCTAGAATGGCTGGATCTGTTCATAGCTCAATCAATCGTACACTAATGTACCTATTTTCCTACAGCTCCTCTGGCATGTGTCAATTTTCCTTTTTTGGTCAACTTTGCCAGTCTGATGAGTGATCTTCTCCTTTTGAATGTTTGATTATAGCCCACTGGTGAGAAGCGGGGTGGTTTTCCCCATTCCATTATCTTTATGATTAAATAAAACAAAATACTTGTTATGGTTTTGAAATCCAGTTTTTTCTTTTGGACTTTCATGTTTTCTATTATTCTTGTCACCTCTCTTCCTGTCATTTAATAATTAACCTTAACAATTAGCCTTAAGTTTACCATAAGCATTTTGAATAGACAACTTCTACATATCCACATATCCAGGACTAACAACTTCTTTGTAGTCTTTACCAATTATGAAAACTTTCACATTTTATCTCAATTGCTACAACAGCCATGTGAAGCGGGCAAGTGTTATTCTCAAGTCTACAATAGGGAAACAAAGACTCAAAAAGGTAAAGTGATTTGTCCAAATTCATATAGCTTGAGAGTGGAAGAACTGGGATCAGAACCCAGCCCTTTCGACTCAACCCAGGGTTCGTTTCAATAATTCTGTAGATCTTCTGGAATTATAATATTCATAATTATTTTACATCTCAGAGAGGAGTAAGTGTATAAGATCATTAGCCTTATGAGAAGAGAGTTGCATCTTCTCTTCTCAACTAACATTTATTAAGCACTTCACTATGTGCTAAGTGCTGGGGATATAAAGAAAAGCAAAAAAAACAGTCCTTTCTAGTGGCAGCTAGGTGGCACAGTGGATAGAGCACTGGCCCTCAAGTCAGGAGCACCTGAGTTCAAATTTGGCCTCAGACCAAACACTTGACACTTAGTAGCTGTGTGACTCTGGGCAAGTCACTTAACCCCAATTGCAAAAAAAAAAGGGGGGGAGCAGCTAGGTGGCACAGTGGATACAGCACCAGCCTTGAAGTTAGGAGGACCTGAGTTCAAATCTGGCCTCAGACACATAACACTTACTAGCTGTGTGACTCTGGGCAAGTCACAACCCCAATTACCTCACCAAAAAAAAAAAAGTTTGAAAAAAAATTTTTTGAAAGTCCTTTCTATCGATGTGTAGGGGCCAGGTTCTGAAGGACTTTAAAAGCCAGAGGATTTTATATTTGATCCTAAAGATAATAGCGATTTGGAGTTTATTGAATAAGAGGGCAATATGGATAATCCTCCATTTTAGGAAGATCACTTTGGCAGCTGTTGATTGGAATGGAGAGATTCATGAAGCAAGGAGACCAACCAGCAAACTATTGTAATAGTCCAGGCATGAAGTGATGAGGACTTGAGCCAGGGAGGTTGCCTTGTCAGAGAATAGAATGAGGAATATTTGAGAAATATTATGAAGGTAGAAAAAATAAGACTTCACAATTGGATTGGGGGATGAGAGAGTGAGGAGTCAGTTATGAATGATATGTAGGTTGCTAGGGCATGTAGCTAGGCTAGGGCAGTGAGTGAAAAAAGTTTAAAAAGCCCTGGCCTTGTGTTGGGAAAGGTAGCCAGGAAATCCTTGTCATCAGGAGAGAGCAAAAAAGGAAAAAGATTTAAGATGAAATCCAGTTGTACCTAGGTGTAGGCATTCCAGAATGCAATGCAAGGGTTGGGTAGTCTTAAAGTGGAATATTAGGAGATTTATGCAGAAGAGAATGAGAATAAGGGAGTAGTTATTTGGGAGCAAGCAGGAGAACAGGATTTGAACAGTGGTGACTGGGGTTCATAATCACTGGTATGGGATGAATAGAACCAAATGGAATTATAATAGTTATTGAGGAACCAAGTTCAGGTAGGTTATCATTGTCAACTGGGGTTCAGTCTCTGAAGGAGCTGTCCATAGGCATTAGGCAGCTGATGCAGGCTTCAGGGCCTGGAAGTCAGGGGGTTGGTAGGGCTGCAAAGAAAGAAGAAGGAGTGGAAAGTGTCCAGACAGAGGCAAGGCAAACTCTTTGGAGCTGCAGGTGGCTATTGAAGGTGTTGGCCTGAAAGTCATCTTGCCATCTATCTTCTGGGGATATAAGATGAAGCAAGATGAAGATGGTGTTGGCAGGAAGAGCCAAGTGGTAAAGTATCTATGAAGTTTCATAGTTGCTAGTCTATGACATCAAAAGATTGCAGCTGTTGTCATATTTGCACTGCTTCTGGATTCCCTTTGCCTGTGGGAATGGAGTTATCTCCTTTACTTTCTCTCTCAGAGGTTTTCAAACTTTTTTAGCCTACCAACCCATTTTCAAAAAAAAATTACTCAGTGCCCCCCGGAAATCTACTTTCTTTAACCCTTTAACTGTTTTTTTAAATTTGCATTTCAAAAAATATTAAAAAATTTTTAAATGGTGCATCTTAAATTTAATAATTTATTGTTAATTTGTGGGGGTTTTGCTGCATTGAAATTTTGATAATGCAATATTTCATCATGTAACTGTATATTATAGTACCGTAAACAAGTCATTACATGCACATATTACTGCTGATGCGTGCTGGACTTTCTGACAAGCTGATCTGCCAACACTTGCTTGTTAAGACCTGTTGGTGGATGTGACCAGTGATTGGTTATAACTTGCGTTTTTTGTGTGTTTATTTTGAAAATAATGTAATCACTACAATTCTAATTCTTACACAACATATGAAACATGTACAAATAGTTTTTCAAATTTTTCTCTTCTCTTCTTTCCTTATGCTTCTACTGCTCCTTTATTGTTATTCAATGTCCCCCAACTGCACCTGAGGTTGCTACTGCCCCACACTGTTCCAGTACCCCTCAAAGGGTGGTACCCACTTTGGGAACCTCTGAATCTAAATTGAGTGAAAAAAATTGCTCTTTTCTTTAAAAAAGAAACCATGTCATGTGCAGTTACTTGACATTCTGTAGCAAAGGGAAGTATCAAAGGTAACAGAATGTAGTTGGTGCAGAATGTGCCAGCTTACCTGCTGATTAGAGTATACAATGGTGATTATATTGATCTGATCATCTGTTCCCAATATGCCTTTGGAGTATATGTTCTAAACCATTTCAATGCTGTAGTTGGCTTTTTTAAGGATCTATGAGGAATAGATTGGGGCTGTACTTTAAAATGCATCTGGGGAGGGGGGGAATTGGCATACAGGTATGTTAATAAACCTCCTACAGCTAAAGTCATTAAGCAAATGAGCATTTGAATTTTATACCATCTGGGTTTTCCAAATGTTTCCCTTCTTCCAACCCTGCCCCTCTCTTACCCAGCCTCCCATAGATCTAATTAGGCTGTAATGGAACAATCCAATACAAGAATCATAGTATCTACACTGGTTTGAGATGGGAAAAGACCTACTGCTGCCACTTTAGATTCAGAAATATTCACAAGTTACACAAATCTTCACAGTTAAAAAATAAAATTAACCCCACAACCACAAAATATGCCGCCATGTAATATATAACATTGGAGTTATAAACATTCTGTCACTGCATCAGTTTAAAAGAAATGCTTATAATTGCTGTGTTAAACACAATCAAAGTACCCAGAAATTCTCCCAGTTCTTGTTTCTTCTCCTTTGAATGTCTTGTACTTTTATTTAGAGGAGTAAAAGTCCTTTCTTCCATGATTAGTCTTGTTAGGATAGGCTAGGTTAGCATACACTAAAAATCCTGCTGATTGATATGACTGAAGAATTATTCCTTCTCATTATATTTCTTGTGGTCAAACAAATCATATTTGTTTCCTGTTGTCTTGGATTGAGGTTATTATAATTATCTATTGTTAGTCCTTGTATAGAGCATGTAGAATAAGGTTCAGCTCTGAAGTTAGTGTATTACATTGAATATTACCATTTATAAACTTTCAGGAAATATTGAGAGAGAAACTAGAAATCCAGAATCCTGATTGTATTTCCAGTTCATTTCATTTAAATGTGGGTCTGGTAAATAACTAAAGACAAATAACTCCCTCCTGCTCACCCCAAACCAAAACAAAACCTTCCTAGCTTGTCTTTTTTTTTTTAAATAAATCATAGTTAATTGTTGTAAGAAATAAATACAATATTTTAGATGTATGTATATCAATTGCTTCTTAGAATTATAGTTAGCCTTCATTTATATTTTTACAAGTAAATAGTCTCAAGATAATCTCATTTTACAACTGAAAAATTTGAAGGTTCTGATTTGTCTGCATGTGTCGTTTGTTTGTTTTTTTGTTTGTTTGTTTGTTTGTTTGTTTGTTTTAAAGAAGGAGGGTTTGGGGTAGGCAGGGAGAGTGATTTTTACAAAGACCTAATCATAGAGATAGACTTGGGTCCTGTGTTTCTTAGCCCTAGAAAAGCATTCTCAGGAAATTTACACTGAAACTTACTGTGGTTAACAAGGCTTGATTTGTTGTTCTATTCCTATGGAGATGTCCACGAGCGACAGGGAGGGAGAGTGCTATAGTAAGACTGTCAGACAGTTAACCAGGACCTTTCTGATTTGTTTCTTCTGAGTTCCAGAATACTGTTCTCAGCCTGGCAGGTCCAGAAACTTGATGTTATCAATTTCCCCAGGGGGTGATCAGGCACCAAAGAATTGATTCCTAAAGATCAAATTCATAAGAGACTCATCGACAGTTTTACACATTTGCATGAAGAACTAAAACATCCCCATGTCAGCACAAAATGTACTTGGAAAAGAGAATTAGAACCAGAAAGTTGCTTGGAGAATATGAAATCAGAACAAAAAGAGTAGGGTGTTCTTAAAGGATAGATTCGTCAAGCTGTTAACTGCCAATCCTCCACATTTGAGAGCTGCTTATCAGGCTGCGTTTCCCTTGAATAGTGATGGAGATATACACTAACTTAATTCCTGGCTGAACTGTGGAATTACATTGATTTCCCTGAAAGAGCCAGTCTCTACTCTTGGCCTTTGCTCAATTCATTCTAAAAAATGAGATGACAATAAAGACAAAAGCACACACCCTTTTTTTAAAAATGTCTATCCTGCTGAATGCTAAATCATGGATTTCTCAAACCTGGCTAATTCAAGAATCCACATACTTCCTCTTCTTCCTTGATACCTATACTTTTCTTTGCTCCTGCCTTTTATTTTTGACTGTGATAGTGGGAACATGTAAGAAACTAAAAAATTTTTTCCCCTTTCTTTCTTATTACATCCACTACATATACAGACAGAAGCTTCTTGTTTGTCATGGGAAGGAGAACAGTTCCAAGGAAAATCAGCAATCATGGAGAAGATGCTGGTATGTGCTTTGTGTACAGAATATAAGGGAAGTTGGGGAGGCAATTTTAATATACAGAGCATTGGACTTCAATGAGACAGGTGTTTGAATCATGATTCTATTAACACAATACCCATGTGACTTTGAGTAAATATTAAATGTTACTATAAGAATGATTTCTGAGCATTTGGGAAGGGAAGCCGTGATCAATAAAATCCAGCTTAGATTCCCAAGAACAGATGGCCAATGTAATCGGTTTTTGATAGTGTTATTAGACTGGCAGATCAATTAAATGCTCTAACAATAGTATACTGAGATTTTAATAAAGCATTATGAGAGAGTCTATATATGAGCTTAGTTGATGCAGCTATATGGATTCAAAACTTGTTAAATGAATGAATGGAGTAGCTATTAATGGGTTAATTAATATCTGCTTGAAATGTGGTACTCTAGGGACAGCTAGGTGGCACAGTGGATACATCTCTGGCCTTGGAGTCAGGAGGACTTGAGTTCAAATCTGGCCTCAGACACTTGACACTTACTAGCTGTGTGACCCTGGGCAAGTCACTTAACCTCAATCACCTCACCAAAAAGCGAAAAAAAAATTTATCCTTGATCCTATCAACATTTTATTGATGATATGAATAAAAACCTAGGTGGGATGCTTGTCAAATTTTTATATGAAATAAAGCTAGAAAGCTAGTGTGACATTTACAAAGTCTAAGAGACATAGTTTCTGGGTAATTTAATCACTTTATTAATAAGTCTAGCATGTTTATTAATAAAAAGAGGTCAGCGATACTCTCAAATGCCAGACCCTTATAGTGGTAGGCTTACAGTTTATATACCCTTGGAAGAGTGGGTGTTTCTGAGGGGGGCAATCAACTGGTTAATAATTAATGAGGAAAATAATATTATATTGGGAGGTGGGCTATATTATAATGAGGATGTTGGGGGTATGTGATTCAGATCACTCAAGTCTTGGTCAAAGAGACTTATCAATTTCAGTATCACCTGTCTCACAAATGAGAGAATCCACATTTTCCTACACCTGTCTGAGTAAATGCAATGAGCAGGAATCTTCCCATGAGCCCAAACTTAGAATTTCTTTTACTGTCTGATTAGATCTTGGTTTGGGTAAACCTTTGCCTGAGATTTCCCACACCAGTTGATTTCTGGATGATGAAGTAGAAAAGGGGAAAAACCTTGGTTTCAAAACAATAACTAGTTAATACAAGAGAGAAATAATAATTTCTCTCAGGAGTGAGCACATTAGATGATAGAATCAAGATTTTTAAAAATCTCAGCAAGCTAAAATGATGATCTGCTTCTAATAAGATGAAATTTATGTGTGGATAGATGAACTTGTAAGTCTCCTACTTGAATTTTTAAAAAATCAACTTTATACGTATAGCATAGTAGCTAAACAGTAGTGTCTGAAAAAGGTTTGTGAGTTTTAAGTGAACTACAAATTCAATATGATTCAACAGGGTGATATAGCAGCCAAAAAAATTATTATGATTTTACTCTGTATTGAGAATCATAGTGTCCAGGACCATGGAGGTGACCATATTTGGAGGATTTTGTTCAGTTGTGTGTTCCATGTTTTTGGAAAAACATTGGTCAACTGGAATATATACAGAAGAATGAAGCCAGAGACCATGTCATATAAGAATTGGCTGAAGGAACTGGGAATGTTTAGCTTGAAGAGAAGACTTAAAGTTGGGGGAATCAATAGCTCTTCAAATACTTAAAGATTTGTTGTTGTTCAGTACTTTTAGTCATGTCCAACTCTTTGTGATCCCATTTGGGGTTTTCTTGGCAAAGATATTGGAGTAGTTTGCCATTTCCTTCCCCATACTCAAAGATAGCTATCATATAGAAGAAAGATTAAGCTTGATAAGCTTGACCCCAGGAAAGAGAGCTGGAAATAATGAGTGAAAGTTAACAGAGATGCAGACTTGGTCCTGATGTAAGAAAAACCCTTTCTAACCATTAGAGATATCCAAAAGCAGGACAATCTTATCTTCAGAAGGTAGCAGGGTCTCCCTCTGTAGAGTACTTCGAACTATATTAGGAATGTTATTTTGTCCCTATTCAGGTATGGGTTAAATGACTTCAGAGTTCCTGCCTACTCTGCTTCTGTGTTGTTACTTGTATTTACTGGATTTCCATGTTGTTATCTATAAAATTAGGATTTTAGATTAGACAATCTCCCTTCCAACTCTGAATGCTATGATTGTGTAAATGGAACAGTCTAAATTAAATCTTTTCCCCCCAAGTGCTAAACTCTTACTTTAGTTAAAGACAACGGAAGTAATTTTCATGAACCAGAAAAGAACCAGTATATTTTTAAAGCATTCCAATGTGTGAACTGCTGCATTTTGTTCATGGCCAAGATAGATTTATCTAATAAGTGACACTTTTAAAAATTAGACAAAGAAAGCCTCAATGAAATGTTTAAAATTCGTGTTTTATTTATAGAGAATATTATTGGAAGAGCACTATAATTAGATGAAACAAAAAACATGTTCTTGATAGATTGATATATCACTTTATCAACATCTTCTTGAAGAGACAGAAAGAGTTTTTAGACTGAGTGCCCATACCCAGTTCAATCAGAATACCCCCCCCACCTGCCACATATATATTATATTCAGGTAGTCTTGATTCCTATAGATTTACATTATCAATATATTTGGTTGAGATGAAAGTGTAATCTTCTGAAGGAGAGGAATTGTTCATACCCATGGTATACGCTAGTCATTACAGCATGGGGGTCCATATGTACTATAGGCAATGGATAATTGTTGTTCAGTTATTTTTCAGTCATGTCTGTCTCTTCATGACCCCATTGAGGATTTTCTTGGCAAAGGTACTAGAATAGTTTGCCATTTCCTTCTCCAACTCAATTTACAGATGAGGAAACTGAGGAAACAGGGTTAGTTGACTTTCCCAGGGTGTCCCAGCTAGTAAGTGTCTGAGGCCAGATTTGAACTCAAGAAGATGAGTCTTCCTGACTTTAGGCACAGCACTCTATCCACTGTACTATCTACCTGCCATTGGGTAATGGGTAAACTATGATTTATTTATTCTGGGAATACAGAAAATATCTCCCCTGTACAGTGATGACAATTTTGTCTCCTATTATTTCCATCTCAGTTAAGAGTGGTGTACAGTAATTGCTTTCTTAAGGGGGTTGACCAATATTCAGAGTAACATAGTGTGAGTCACTATCCTACAAAGCCTTTCTGGTCGTTTCCAGCCCACATTCCCTTCTCCAAACTCCTAGACCACTTGTTAGTAGCCCTCATTTGTTTAATTCCTATACTGTTGTTTTACCTTGCTATCCTTCACAAAGTCTTACTTGGATGCTTGGTCAAGGAGAGGAGAAGGCTATGCAGTGGAGCATGAGCTCTAATCATTTCTACCATGCTGGAAGGGCTTTAAGTAAGGTCCCAGAAAGACTGTAATTGTGTCAGGTGAAAAGCCTAGCGAAGCACACAGTGGCACATTACCAGGAGGCTGGCCACACAGTGCTGATTTGTTTGGCTACAGTAATCCGTGAAACAAAGAAAAATACAAAATGGCCCCAAGTCCAGTGCAATACTCTTCCACTTCTACAGATAAGATACTAAGAATCATATTTTTTAATAGACTCTAAGTAGAAACTTAGCTGTTGATACTCTACAAGTGAAATCTTTGTCTAATGACTAAGTGGACATGCTATGAGAGTAACTTTATCGTACCAATCTTGGCATTCTTGCTGTATCTAAATAAATCTAGAAGGAAGGAAATATCAGCTAAATTGAAAGATGGATCAAAAATTCTCCTTGGACAGACAAAAGAAAGAGCTGATGTGATCATCCAAAAGCAATAAGAAACAGTGTTTCTTTGTCATTACATTGGTCACTCTTAATTTCAGTACTTGTGATCATTATTTACAAAGTGACCTACATGAAAATAATTACTTCTTATATGCCTACATTTGTTGCAGAGGATGAAGAGGTGGAAAAATACTACAAAAAATGTAATAAGATCTTCCAAATTAAGCCAACATTTACTGTATTATTCAGTGATTATAGTGTAAAAGTGGGAATGTGAGAACTTATGGTGGACAATGTGATTCAGGAGTAAGGATGAGAAAAGACAAAGATGTATAGACTATTCAGAAGCTTCACACCTATATATTATGAATACTTTTTTCAAGACAAGAAATAGATGACTCATGGATCATGTGATTAACAAAATGGAGTACTAGATAGACATTATGTGCCAAAATTAAAACAACTTCTGCTTTCTCCATAGTCTAGGACACCAGGAAACTAAAACCCTCTCGACTACCACTACTAGCAGCAAGGCTGTGCTAGCCAGCCAACCCACAGGCTTACAACAAAATGTAACCACACACACTAGTCCCTCCTCTTCCTTTCCCGTGCTCTTTAGGTCTAAACTCCAAATTGTAGAAATTTGCTGAGGCTTCAATAGCCAGCACACATGGCAGCATTCTGTCCTGTAAAAGATCTTTGTAGGGGAGTAGAGGGAACAAAGGGAAGGAGGCAGAACACATCTGGGCTTGAAATAGAACTCATCCCGTATCCTGACACAGCTACTCCAGTGTCAGAAGATCTAAACTCTAAATGACAGAAGTCAGTACAGTCTGCAATAATACCAGCCTGCAATGCTCTATATTGCTGGGCCAGAGAACTGTGGAACAGAGTAAATAGGATAGGATACTGAAGGGAAGAGAAGAAAGGAGAAGTACTGGTAGGGGGTTAAGTAGCCCTCTACTAAGCCTGATGGAAAGAGCCTTGCATCCATCAGGGGTCAGTTCTGTCCCCCTCAAAAGTCACTTGGGACAAAGACTTAAACTGAAGTGGGAATTGTTTAGTGTAAAAGGAGGCTGAGAAGCTTTGAGATCTATCCCCTAGGGGAAACCACCATTAGAGGGGAGTCCAAAAGTGAGCAATAGAGGAAAATAAGGGGGGGAAATGGAAAATGCCAAAGATCTCAGGAAGAAA